CCGGACGGTTTTCGGGCGCTTGAGAGCGAGGGGCCGCGGGCCGCGCCAGCGTTCCGGCAGCCCGGGTAGCACGGGAGGGGTTTAGCAGGCGGCGCAGACACGAGGGCTGTTCCGCGGAGTCTCAGGGCTTCGGCTCGCCCCTTCCAAAAGATGGTGCATCCCTTCTGCAAAGCCAAACGTGAGCTGCCGCGGTCGGTGCAGCGGTGTAACAAGGGCACAGGTGCTGTGCGGGAGAAACAGACATCCCCGTTTATAAATTCAGATCCTGACCTGGTCGCGTTTATGACTGATACCGACTGTGACCCTCAAGTTTATTTGCACAAACGTTAGGAAGAGCTCCAAGGAACAGCAGCCCTCCTGGAAGGCATCTCTTGCCGAGGGAAGGCTGGTGCAGTTGTCCTGCGGAGAGGGGAGCTGGTGCCTGGTGTGTCGCTTTGCCCAGGCACATCGCTGACCGTGTGCCCGAGGAGAGCCTGGCGTCCCCTCGCCAGCGCCCACGTCCGAGGGGCAGCACTGGCGCCGTGGGCAGGGACCCCCAGCAGCTGGGAACTGCCCATCCGATGAACTTTGGGGTCCGGGTTTTTTCCGGTTCTGATCAGGGTGATATTTGAGTACTCATGATTTTTAAAAACCTTTTTTTTGTTATTTGTGTAAGAGTTGACTCAAGAACACAGGTAAGGTCCTTGTGGGTGCACTGGTCTTTAAGGACAGGGTACATCTTGGTGATCTAACAGGCCACGCAGAGCGTGTGACTTTTGGGGCTGCCTGGATTATGCATTGCTCTGCGTGTGGTTGCCAGTGGTAGTTCTAAGAAAAACAGAGGGAACTTTTTTTGTGTTTTCAGTTTTTATTACAGTGCAAACAGCCAAATACAAGGATACAGCCACGAGCTCCCTGTTCTGAATCATTGGTGTGACACTGGCAAACCAAAATCGTACGGTTTTTGCAGGCCTCGTGCTCACACGTTGGCTTGAAATGGAGAGTCCGAACAGACGAGGAACACAGGGCTTCTCTGCGTAAAATAAAATCCAGAGTAAAAGCGCTTGGTTTTTGCTGGCATCTGTGATTAGAGCGTGTATTTCCAATCTTATGTTGCAGAGTCTGTTGAATGGATTAATGTGCTACAAACCCGATGACCCAATCGAATATTTGGAGAGCTGTTTGCAGAAAGTGAAGGAGCTCGGGGGGTCAGAGAAGGTGAAATGGGACACCTTTGTCAGCCCCGAAAAGAAGACCCTGCCTCCGCTCAACGGAGGACAATCCAGGAGGTCTTTTTTCAGGAATGGTAATGCATTAAGTATAAAAACGATAGTGTTGCTCGTACTGCAGGTGGTTTTACATCCACCACTGAGCTGCTTCTTTAGCGGACCATGCCTCGTTCTGATTTTCCTCGGGCAGAGGACTCAAGGATTCTGTTTCCTTGCGTTTTGGCATTTGTTTTTCTCCTCCCCTAACGGATGCTGTGCAGGAGAGGAGATGGCGATCACTTTGCAGCCTAGCAATGGGTGTGCACCGTGTAAACGGGTAACACGTTAGCGGAGAGACGTCCCGTACCCTACCTAAAACGTCTGCAAAGCGGCCTCGGTCCACTTGGCTTGAATGCTCAGTTGGTCCGTGTGAGTGACGTACGTACTGACTTCAGTGCAGTTACACTGGGTTGGTTTTCTCATTTGTATTGGAGCTATATGCTAATTCACCAAATACAATGTAAACTATAAACTCTTAGAAAAGGTGCGTCTCATAAAATCTAAGCAAATGTCATACCAATACCTGTAATGATTTTATTGGTAATGTTAACAGAGTAATTAGCTCATCTTTCAGTTGCCATAGTTATTCTTCCTTGCCATCCAGCATTTCATTAAACTAATTAGCAAGAATGCTCACTCCATCTCTGCGTACAACACGCATCACCAAAAGAGCTCTGCTTAATGCAGGTTACCTGCACCACACGAGGGTTTTCTTCTCAGAGGCTGCTGCTGAACTCGCGGTGCTGTGGGCAGGTATTCAGGGAAAAGTGGACGTGCTTGTGGGGAAACACCGAAGAAAACCGACTCCTCATGGTTCCGATTTAATTAATCGGTTAAACAGAGGCAAGGAGTGTTTAGTAGAGTAACAGCAAGCATATTGTAAAATTAGGAGATAGTTATACTTTATTATACTTGTTTAAATCTGTGTACACAACAGATTTTGAGTTTTCTGTTTCCACAGTTCCCAGTTTATCTTGCTGTTTTACAGTGATGCCTGATAACTCTAACTTCCCGTACCGACGCTATGACCGACTCCCTCCAATCCAGCAGTTTTCGATAGAAAGTGACACCGACCTCTCTGAAACCGCTGAGCTAATTGAGGAGTATGACGTCTTTGATCCTGCCAGACCTCGACCAAAAGTTATCCTTGTCATAGGTAGGAAGGCAGAGTCATTTTGACAAGATTTTACCTTTGTTACTTTGCCTTTTTATTTGTACTGTGAGTACACTGAATGCCTGTGTGTATTTAAATACAGTTTTTCCCTCTGCCACAGCAAGTGGTGCAGCCCAATTAGGGGGTCTCAGCACGTGGAGCTGTTAGTGCCGAGGATACAGCATCCCAGCTGGAAGCTTTTTAGGGGTTACAGCGAGCGCCTGTGGTCGTGTCTGTAGACCGGGCGCCTATGAGCAGCCGGAGGGCCCACGGTTTGCTTGCAGAGCACGTCTGCCAGTTCAATTTAACCTAAACCAAACCCGGCTCCTGCACTTCAAGACAGCTCCACCGTGTGAATCAAAGTGCTCTTCCAACGTGTGCTCTGGGTCTGAACTGAAACACGGTTGTGGATGTACTCTAAGCTGCTCCCAAAAAAGGATGTGTAAAAACACTGGATAGGCCAGCTCAGCAGGGTCATAGGGAACCGCTGTCCTCTACGTTTAGAGCCTTGAAAACTGACCGGTGCGTGCACAGTCACTAGCCCTTCGCATTGATCAGTTCAGCCCTGGGCCTGTTGGGCGAATGACTCCTGCGCTGACTTCAGGGCTCGGTTAGCATTGGTGCTCTCTGCCCACGGTCTCCTTGTGTGCTCTTCAGCACCCTTCCTAGGCAGCTCGCACCTTCCAGCCTCAGACAAGCGTGCTGCTCGTGAAGAAACAGCTGCCGTTGATGTCTCAGTCCCTGTTGTATTCCCTTTCTGAATTCAAGTGCTTTGAATTAGTTTCCTTGTCATCTGGGATAGCTGAAATTTACTGCCAGGCCTAATTCCCTCGTTCCCTGGACTGTTTAAGTAGTTACAGCACTGGTGCCAGGTGATGGAGAATCACATTTTTAGTCTATAAAGCCTTACTCGTATTAAAGAGAGAGATTGCTTCCCTAACAGAGCATAGTACGTAGTACAGTACGAGAGCAGAGCAACGCCTTCTCTGTGTTACAGGGTGGGATCTCCAAGATCAGCGTGTCCTCTAGGCTCTGCAGTTCTTGGAAATGCAATGTTGGAATATACTGGAAACAGGGAACCAGGCATTTTTCTAGATGTTTGTGGCCTGCCAAAAGAATTGCTTAGGCATTTGAGTTTTCTTAATCTTTTGTTTTGGAGTTACAAATCTCGACATGCAATTATCTCCACGCACCGCTGAACGATAAAGCTTGCGTTACATGGAGCAGTAACACATGCCTTTCGTTCACCTTAATTAATTAGCTAGTCTTCCTCCTCATAAAGGAAAGAAACGGGCTCCTTTTAGTGACCGCAGAGGGCTCTCAAGGCATTGAAGTCAACATAGCTCTGCTGCCGCAGAGTGATGAACAAGGGTTTACTCTAGGTGAGGTAAAGAGAAATCGGCTTTTGCCTCTGGCGCCGAGTGCAGGGGCATTTGGAGTGAAACCCTCGAACGCCAGCCTGTCGTGAACAGACCACGGATTTTACAGAGCTTTTTCTTTCCCCTGTTTGTATAGGGAACATCGCAGACATTCCACAGGGGCTGTTTCAGGTTTATTTTCAGACTGTGTCTGCCTGTGTCTGTTCCAGTGTGGTCCGATGGAAACACAATACTATATGCAGCTGAGCAGCCAGTGTCAGTTTTGCACTGCATCAAGGAAATTTCTACTGAGAAAGCATGTGAAAACGCACACTGAAAGAATAACTAATAAACTGAATGAAAGCGAGAGAAGGAAAAAAGTGCACCGTTAGTTTCATGAGACAAATGCTTTACCAAAAAAGCGGGTGGCACGTTTCTCCGTTGGCCCAGAATGCCGGGAGGACCTTCAGCTGAGCTAGGTGCTTGAGTCCAGCTAGGGAGAACTGACTGTCCTGCCTGGCTCCGACGGTCCTGGTCCGTTCGTCGACGGGACTGGAACAAACAGAAGTTGAAGAAGTTGAAGACCTGTCCGCCTCGCCCGTTAGGTGAACTGTTCCTTAACAGTGCCTTAGCCCAAGATCTTTTCAATGCTTCCATAAAGGTTTTACAGCTTCTGTGCTTCGTGACAGCCGTCACACTTGTAACCACCCAGGCAGCTCCAAGGCAGAAGAGAACTTGCTCACAGGGGTGGGGCTTTTGTTGTTCTTCGGTGTCTGCAGACAAGTCTCCTGGTGAAATGTGAAGCTATAGAGCCGCCAAGCGAGTATGTGACCAGATTTTAGAAAAATGAGATGAAACCAGCCAGGATGGCGCGTATCTGAATCCCTGGAAAATTAAGTTGCTAAGGCATTATAACGCCGGGAAACTAGACTGTGTTTAAAAACGTGCTTCCTGGCATTTTTGACAAACATCGTTCTGATACGGCCTGAATACAAAGATCTTAAAAAGTGAATTACCTGGTGTCATTAGCTCCAGAGTTCCGTGGGGTTTTTTAACTACACTTAAATTAAAAATACTAGTTAATATGAAAAGAATGCGTTTTTCTTTTATAATAGAAATTTAAAGGGTAGATCAAAGAGAGTGCTGTCAGCAGGTGACTGGCCCGTTGATTTGTTGAATCCAGGCCACAGCTAGATGTTACGATCATAAATCTCTTCGGAAACCTTATTACATGAATTTATAATCGCACAAGCAGAACTGAAATATTGAGCTTCTGTTGACAAAACTAGATTACACCAGCTGCTTTAATAAAGCTCTTTGGGCATCCAAACCTTCACTCGAAACCAGTTAGCAAACATAGTTTTAGATGCAACAAATGTTCCCTAGTCTAGGCATCTTCGGAGAAATAAGTAATCGGCTTTTTTTGAATAATGTATAATCTCAGAATAAGTGAAAAGAATGAAAACCAAAAGTGATTTGATTTTACTTTCTTGTGAACGGTTTGTTACTGTGATTTATCAAAGGATCAGGAATGGATACATGGTTCAATAAATTAGTGATTTGCCGTGGGAAGTGATTTTGTCCCATCACTTTTCTCTTATTACCTGAATGTTTCCCCCATAGATTGTAAATGGATGATCTCAGCTTGCTAAAGTGACATTTTTGGATTAGGAAAAACAAAATATATGAGAAGTTTGTGAACATTAAAACAAATACTTTGAGGTTTTTTCCACTTGCAGTTCAGGCTGAAGGAACAGAAGTGCCAAACTGCACTTTTTCCCCCTGCTTCTCTTCAGTGGCAAAGCAAAGCTCTCCCTAACAGAAGCGTACAGTCTGTCTACTTGGTTCCACAGATTTTTTTAGCTATTCTATGGTTTTACAGAGACCAATGTTTTTTCACGCAACGTTTCTGTTTTTCTGGCATCTTTCGTATCTCCACTGGAATGCAGATACTATTTTCCCTGTTGTCAAATTTTCCGTTTCCAGTTTCCTGCCCATTACCTACATATGTTTTGCATCTTTATTGTTTCTGGGGTGCAGCATAGTCTGTTTCAAACTTGTCTGGAGTCTCCAGGGAAATAAACTGAATTTCCTTCCCTGGAGGTTTTCTGTCAGCAGGGTTCAGCACAGCATTGGCTCCGCTGTGTTTTATAAACCCCTTGCTCCAAAGTGCATTCACCATCTACCGCCCCTTTTTTCCGGTAGCTGGGATTATTGCCAGTAAATAAAACCACGTAGATTCAGAGTAATAAACGTTACAGGTAGGTATAAACACACGCCTATGTAAGATACATTACAAGTTATGCTCGTTAGATTGCAGTATGAGGCTTAGTATAGAGAGAGAGTTGCTATGGAAATCTTTAGGCAGAGTGACTAGACGTTCCAGTAACGGGCCATAACCCTCTCCATTCACCTGGCAAGACCTGCTCCGTGCAAACTGGCAGCAATGGTCGAGCAACCAGCTGCGCTTTGCGCTGCTGTTCTCTTCCACGTAAGAAAAAGGGCACCGGGACTCGGCTGCTCCAAACCTGCTGTGCTCCAGAGCGCCCAGAGCCTGTAGCAAACCATGGCCGACGCGGAACGACCTGGCGCGAACACCACGACCCAGAACGTGAGGGACGCGGGAGCGAAACGCGGCGCAAGGCTTGGGGAAACGCACCCGTCGCGGGGAGGGCCGAGCGTGCCGCCGCGGGGGGCAGGCAGAGCCACAGCAGCAGGTCGGCAGAACTGCCCTGTGCCCACTTCAGCGAGGCAGCCCCCAGCGCCTCAGTCAGACGCTTGCCTGCCCGCCAAGGGGGAGCAGCCCGTATTCTAACCAAGAGGGCAGCTAGGCTGGCATGAAGGGAGCAGTTCAGGCTGAAAACACGAGGCCCGTCCAGATGACCTAAAGGAACTGAAATGGGAGAACAGCTGCGAAACCCGGCGTAGCCTGCCGAAGGAAGAGAGAGCGGGTGCCTTTTGGGAGAAACAGCGAGTGAACTGGAGGAGGGAAAAATACTTTTCAGTTGTGACCTTACTGTACAGAGATCAGATACAGTTTGTCTTCGTTCCTTTGCTTGTGTTTTATGAACATCTGCAGCTGTATCGACTAGCTGGATGTCACGGATAAATGCTTACATTTGCGTTTATCTTACCCTGGCTTGATTTAAGCATTATTTAAACTAATTGAGTAACGATAAAACCTTTTTTCCCCCAAGGGTATATAACTAACCTGTGGGCCGGGATGGGAACACCCTAACCATACACAAGTTTCCCCAGGCATTCTCTTCAGGTGGTGCCAGTCAGCGTTCCAAAGGCCGGGGAGGGTCCCCATCACAGCGCGGGGGGCACAGAAGGTTGCTCCCAGGGACCACTGGAAGCTCTCTGACATGTGGTATTGGGCACAGGTTTGAACCTGGTCACACAAGACTGTCCTAGCCATACATGAGGAAATACTGTAAAGCTCATCTGCAGTCAAATAAATGCCTAAAACCTATTTATGGAACTAATACAGCTAATACAAGAAAGAGTTACAGGATCGCTAACAAGAAGCTCTTGTATTCGCATTTACTTTCATTGCATTGCTGTATTTTTTAAAGTTCATAGAAAATGTACATTATATTTTTAATAAACCTTAATTCTTTGTATGTCAAAATAAAATTTAATGTTCTCACACACAGTTCACCAAAATGTAGGTGCTTGGTGTTGGGAATTAATATCAAAACATTTGTCTTGGTTTTGCTTTGTTACACTGTTCAGTAACATCCACTTTTCAGTATCTAAACATTTATTGTTATCAAAACAATTCCCTGTTTTTACATGGTGGGTTCCAGTTTCTCTGTTCTTCACACCATAACAGGTCCTTCTAGTTCAGACATAGTCTGATTTTATTTTTACATGCATTCTTGCTTCTGCTGTCCGGCTGACCGTCCCGTCAGCATTCCCTGCTGTGTCACGTAGCTGTTTTCTGTGACTTCGATACCTCTCCTGCCTGTGCTATATTGAAGGGTCTCTTTGTTCCTCAGGTTGACCAGCAAGGTGAACCTAACAAATTGCTTCTCTAGCAGATGCTTCAAGCATCGGTACCAGACGTACGTGTGGTTTAGTAAAAGTCCTTGTACCAGATCACTATGGAAACATCTCAGCTGATTATTTAATATTTTCCCATGTTTCAAAATTAGAAAGCCTCAGAAACTCATGCAAGCATATTTAGGAGCAGATTTTAGTTCTGTTCCATGACTAGTCCATTGATTTAATCAGATTATTTAACCAAGTATGATTCTTCCTGACGTGAATACGCTTCAGACTATCTGGCTCTGCCTTTGGCTTCACAGGGTCCATGAAGGGACCAGTTCATTTGTCTGTTCTTCTGCTACAAAAATTCCTTTCCAGGAACAGCTTTAGAATGAGGTTGAGCCTAAAAGAGTGTGTTTACATCTAATTTGGAAGCAGGTTTCTATTTTTGTTCTTCAGTTTACAAACAGTTACCTTTATGATCAGGTAGCTGAGAACGTCTTCTAATGGCTGGTAATAAGTCACACGACTGCAGGATTTCCTCCAGTAATGGCTGGAAAGTTGGTGCTGATAGCAGACTTCACGTGTGATTGGGTACTTTGGATGAAAGGTTAATTTAATGTTTTGCTTGTCATTAACAACAGGTGGCCCAGGAAGCGGTAAAGGAACACAGAGCTTGAAAATAGCAGAACGTTATGGATTTAACTACATATCAGTGGGTGAATTGTTAAGGAAGAAGATCCACAGCACAAGCAGCAACAGAAAGTGGAGTCTAATTGCCAAAATAATTACTACTGGAGAACTGGCCCCTCAGGTACAGTGTACCCCGTGCTCATGTTTACTTTTGAGGGCTTCGTACATGCTGTATTAGTGTGCACCATCAAGAAAACCTCCTTTACAATATTAAATAACTTCTTTTCTCTGTGAAAGGAAACCACCATAACTGAGATAAAGCAGAGATTAATGCAGATCCCTGATGAAGAGGGTATAGTGATTGATGGATTTCCCAGAGATGTTGCCCAGGCAATCTCCTTTGAGGACCAAGTAAGAGATTGTTTTTATTCTTAAAATAACTCACGTATCTCTACAACAGTTAAGCTTCTTGAAATAGTCAGTCAAATTCCAAGAAAGACCAGATGTTATTTCTAACTGGGCATTGTTCTTTAAACTTCTGCAAGTACAGAACTACAAGGTGACAAAAGGTTATTCTTTTGGTTTATATTATGTCCCGCCTGAAGACAGAATATTTTGTAAAAAGACAATGGGAAAATATAATCAATAATCCAAGCCTCTTGTGTCAGTAATGAAAATCCTCTCGAGATGAAGAAGAAAACATCAAATCTAAAAATCAGTATTTTTTTGTATTGTACTGATTTAGAAAGGGGGAAGACATTGTATTTCCATATCTATTTGCTCAGTTGAATCTACATGAGGAGAAACGTACTTAAATCAATGCACATCTTCACAGTGCTTTTAATCTGAAGTTTATTACATTGCATTGAAGAGACTGGAATAAAGTAAGGGTAAAAAGTGCCCATGTTGCACAGGCTTTTGTGAACCAGAAATGATGCTCTTTTTTTAGAAGTTTAGATCATTTTGGTTATTCTAAACTTCAGTTCTAAGGTTTAGTCAGCTGAGACTGCATTCCCGAGTTCTCCTCATGTGTTATTTCCACATGTGTATTTTAAATTAATCTAAAAATACTTAAATTCAGTGGAAAAACAAACAGCTCGTGTCATTTTGTGACCAAGTGCCGTTACCGTAACAGTGGCGGTCACAAGCAAAGGCTGCAGTTTCAGTGCTGAATTTATAGCGCGCCCTTCACGCGGAGCGTTTCAAAGCCCTTCACAGTTGCTGGTGCACCACCATTGTAGTACCCCGGGGTCTGAGTGCCACTGCCAAGACAGAAGGAACAAAAGAAAGCAGCCAATGAGGCATTTCATTAGTGTGCTTTTATAAGGTATTATTCTGGGCAAAATTTAGAAGACTGAATTGAAGAAATGAAAGGAAACAGACAAAACAGTTATTACAGAAAACAGCCAGTGACTGCCAGCTGTAGCTCCTTATAATTAACAGGAGAGAAGATTGACTATTTTATAAGTGAAAGAGCAGAAATTTAGGCTTAACAGTCCTTTCCTTGCCTCATTTCTCTGTCCAGTATGTTGTGTGATGGCGTGACTAAAGTGCATTTCTTGGTGCTGCGATTTTGTGCTGATGTGTTTGACGAAAGAATGAGGCTGCAAGAACTGACAGGAGTTAAATAGAGTGCTTTGAGTTATCCTAGGGCCAGATTCTCCCTCTACAAAGGAAATCCAGTTAAACAACACTTGAGCACTCACCATAGGGTCCATTAGTAATGCCAGTAAGAAGTGAGCCCAGGAGGTGACAGAAAGAGCTCCAGCAGGACTGCGCTGTAGAGGGGCAGAAAGGTGGACACTGCATTTTGTACGAGTTTGAACCCTCCCTTTGCACCATTCTGTCCACATTTAGCCTGTGCCTGAGTCTACACTACAACAGTCACTCTTATCACCTGAGGACCCCTTACCAGGCAGGGAGGGGGATCAGGAACAGGAGAGCAGACCCAGGGTGGAAGTGAGAACAGATCGAGTGAAACACCCTCAACCCCCCCAGAGACCCCCCCAGTTACCCTCACCCAGATGAACCCCCAGCCATCACCCCCCCCAGGAGAGCAGTCCTCGGGAGGAGCCAGAGCAGGAGGAACCCCAGCAGGAGCCCCCAGGAGCCCCCTCCCCTCAGCCAACCTCCCCCCTTTCTCCTGCCCCTGCTGACGGGCTGGGCTGCCCCTGGAGCTACCCCAGGGCACTGCCCTGGCTGGCTGGAGCTGCTGGGGGGCTGCCCGGCGCGGGGGGCTGGGGGGCTGCCCCAGCTGAACCAGGACACATTCTCACATGCTTTTATAGTATCTCCTCATTTAACTCGAAATATTCCCCTCTGCCAGCCTGGTCAGCTCTTGCTGACTATGGAAAATGCCATGGAAAACAGACTGATGGAATGGCAGATGACAGAAGTCCTAACTTTGGCTCCTTTCTAGTGTGTGCTGTTGCTTCAAGGATGCTGTAGATTGGTCTTTTTTTTATGAGAGGATGGATTTAGTCATTTTAGACCTGACTGTTCTCAGAAAGTTCCTTCATTTTCAGCCTTAATGGGATTCAGTCTAATCGTACTGCTCAAGGCCTGATTCTGCCTGAAATATAGATGACTGAGTCTCTAAAAGAATCCCAGAGCACTTCATATAAGACCACCTTTCAGTCTTACCTGTTCTAAAATAAATATGGGAAAGGAAAGAAGGAATCGTAGAGCTTTTATAGGAGCATAGGAAAGAAAATTTGGTCTGTTCAGGCTCCCGCTTTTTTGCCTGCCTTTGCAGCAGACCTCTTACATGAGCACATCTAAGGCCATGGAAATAAATGTACAAAGGATGTACATATTTCAGCATACATCTGTTTAATCCAGTGGGATATATTCATGTTTTACCTTGGATTTATATTTTAAAGAAATAAATTAAGCTTGTTGTTATTTTAAATTCTCTGTTTAGTAAGCCATAATGCTGCAGACATGAGCGGGAAGGTCTTGGGGTAAGGAAAGGGGACTATCAGCAGACGTGGTACCCGTCTTCCTTCACAGGATGAGGCTGACAGTCATCTGTGGCCTGTCGGGTTATTTACATTAAACGTGGGAACATTTTTAAGGCACTCAGAGATCCCTCAATGGGAAGTGCAATTGAGTTGTGGGGAATTCAGTAATTAACTGTTGTGAGAATTTGTGTAGGTCTAAAGATGCTACGGGTGTTTTCCGCAGCTTAGAAATACAGCTTTCTTGCGAGCGGTGCGTTAGAACACAACAGAATTGCTCTCATTAGCCAGAAGTGGCAAGAGGAGAAATAATTACTTGAAATTTCAGCAAAGAAAGTTTTGATTAAATTGTAAGACATTTTATAATTAGAAGATCTGTTAAGCAGTGGAGCATTCTTCTGAAGAAAATGCATGACAGCCCACAAAATGCAGAGTCAAACCACATTATTCTGTGACACATAGGCCTCATTCTTACAAAGACATCTCCTGTAGAACACTGAGATCTGTTGATTAAAAGTTCTGAGTAAGAACTGATTCTTATTGTTATCCCTAATTTTGTCATGGGTGAATACTGACTCTTGTCCGTTTAAGACAGGGCATGCTTACGTACCTGAAAACAGCCGGCAGCTGACACAAGCCATGTTAAAGGTCACGTTGAGGGGAACTGCCAAAAAGGACATGAAGTAGGAGTTACTATTTATTTAACTGCTTTCCCTTATTCGGGGTCCCTTCACAGCTGTTAATTGTTTCGATTACAAGGGTTCTGAAATGCAGGTGTGAGCTTTCAAACAGTGACTTTACATTATTATTTGTTCCATAAAGCAGCTAGAACACTTTGGGGTTTTATGGTGTAAATTAAAATAATGCTGGTAAGTTTTTATAGGGTTAAATAGATTATGCTGACTTTCTCGGTGCTTTCAGCCATGTAGGATATAGAGTAGATGCCAATGGGAGGAATGAGCAGCAGGGACAAGGATGACTGTTTATCCTTCATCGTTTGAGTGTGTTGGGATGTGTATTCTTCTGTAATCCCATGGAAGCTTGAAATAAGCAAAGAAGCATTCATTTTAAAAGTGGAGTTTTTCTACTCCATAGCCTTTCTCCTTTGCCATCATTTACACAGACAGAAATAAACTCCAAGAATATTTGTAGTAATATGAAAAATAAATTGTGGGGGAAGAATGTGAAGGACAAGTTACTAAACTGAGTTGAAACAGGGATGGGTAATAGGAGATATTGAGAGAGTAAGGAAGGCTGGAACGGAGACGGAACAAATGTGAGGCAAATAGGAGGTGGATAAACAAAACCGGCTACAAAAACCTGCCATCATTATAGTTCAAGAAAGCATGTCTGGTCTTTATTGATGGTAAGAAGTGTATATTGGTTTGTTCCCCACATGTTGTTCCTCTTTGTGAGGCATGATGTGGTGGGGTCAAGAAATCACGTGGACCCAATGTCACATCCAGGGCCGGGAAGTCAAAACCTTGCTCCCAAACTCTAGCACTATAGTTCCCCGGACGGTGTTCCTGAACCTTCTAGTACGTATGATGACATGGCTTTCACCGGTTACAGCGGTGCTGCGCTACTGCACAGATAAACTAATCTGTATTGGAAATGCTTCACCGTATCAGTAGCAGAAAAGGAAAAGGTCAGCTAAGGTGCCTGGTTTCTCTTGCAAGCGCCTAACTGTGCTGTGTTTGTGGGCATCTTTAATGTACAAACCATCTAGGCTATACAGTAATTCCTTCGGTTGTACGGCTCACACAGCCGTTACTGAGTCGTGGCGCTACGTGAGCTTTCCTGATCTCTTCAGCTTGTGAAGAAACCAACTGGGCACATACATGTCTGCACTCCAGTTACAGTACCTGTCCTGCATCATGTTCTAGTATAGAAGTGACAATGAGTTCTTGCCGAACTTCGCTTTTAATGGCTCTTGGTACTAACAGCACATTTTTATCTCTTTGACTAATCCAGAAGCTGAACTTTTCTCTGGGAAAAAATGTTATTTTTAGTAAAGGAGTCAAAGCAAACCAACTGATGGCAACATTCCCAAACATAGGTATAGCTGAAAGATGACGATTCCTTCCTTATTATGTTGCCAGATTCTTGTGTGGACAGCAAGTTCTCGGCGTGTTGCTAGGCAGAATTGTATTAAAACACATTGCATCTTGATGACTAAAGTGCCTCAGAGCAAGCGATGTATGAGTCTATGATTCTATGATCGTTTGCAGCATTTCTCCTTCTGCTCAGACCCAAAAACCAGCAGTGACAAACACTGCTTCCAAGCAGTAATGTCAGTCTGGAATAAGGGGATCAAAAAGCCCTTTACACACCTGAAGAAGTTTACATTTGAATTAAAGCCTTTTCCCCGCTCTTCTGTTGGGCGCTGTTAATGTCACTGTTCCTGTCACCCATGTCTTTTGAGCAGGAGAGGAGTCTTTCAGGTGGCGC